CCTGTAATACACCCCTCTCACACGCACAGGCACACTCCTGTGTCCACGTGACACACGCACACCCGCCTCCAAACACCACTCACAGGTCCCCGCGCACGTGTGCACCCTCCGAGCTACCAGTTCTGGGCCCACCGGGCCCCAGAGCCGCAGAGACTGCCTCCACCGCCCCCTCTCAGCCCAGGGACAACTACGCAGCTAAAGCCACGCGCTGCATCCCTCCCATTCATCCTCCCGCACCCCCTCCCCACCCCCACCCCCGCTCCCTCGGGAAGGACCGTGGGAGGAGCGCTCGCGGAGATTTACACGTGGGTGCACTCGTCTGGGCCCACTCCGCATAGACTCGGCCTCCCACCAAGAGCCGGGGAGGGGAGGGGAGGGGGTGAGTAGTCCAGCCTGCATGCACGCAGTCCCGCAGACAAGAGCAGGGGAACGAACGCAGATGGCGTGCCGCCCTCACAGATGCGGTACCAGCTGCCAGTGCAGACCCAAGCTGGCTCGGGGAGGGACCCAGTAGACCCAGCCCGGCAGATAGAAGGGGGAGGATCACGGCACGGTCGAGGTCCAGGCTGCCCTCGCAGATTTGGCCTCGCAGACCATCCCTCTCCCCTGCAGGCTCGGAGCAGATGTTCAGGCGTTCGTGCCCTCTTGCTCCCCGCCCGTCGACCCGTACCTCGACGCCAGGCGACAGTCTCCGTGGCCCAGCGGACGGCCAGGCTTGCTCCCGCGGCGCGCGCCCCACCCCGCACGCCTAGCCCGGGCCCAGATCGCAGAGCTCAGACCACCGGCACAGCGGCTCGAGGCAGCGCTCGCTCCCCAGCCAGCCGCCGCGCCCAGCCCGCACTCATTGGTCGGGCCACACGGCCCTCCAGGGCCGCCCAATCAGAGCCCAGGACCTCCCTCCCCGCCCCTTGGGGGAGGGGCCGCGACGGGCGGAGGCGCGGGAATGGCCCCTCCCCCTGCGGCGGGGCTGGGCCTCGTCACGCCCCTGGCGCCCAGGCACAGGCGGCGTAGGGCGCCCCGAAACCCCTCCAGGCAGCGGCGTGGGCCTCTTAGCGGGGTCTGGGGGCTACGGGGTCTTACCCCAAAAATCCTGTGCCCCCGTCCCAGCCTGGCCTGTCGGGGACAAGCGCGCCACCTCCTTCCCGGGTGGTGAGGAGCTGTGCGTGCTGGGGGAGGGGCGAGGCAAGATCAGCGACAAGGGTTGAGGCCGAGGCTTAGACCTAGGGAGAAAGGCCTTGAATGGCAGGCTCAGTTTAGCCTTCTGCTGGTTAGAGGATCCAAGAAGAGGTTCTAGCAAAGAATGTTGAATGTCGAGGTCGAATTCATGCTTGGGAAAGGGCTCTGGAGTATGCGGCAGGAATTGCCTAACTGGGGCAGAGGGAATGGAGGGTACTCAACCAGACTTGGTGACCTTCATGGTGGCTGTTCCTAGGGGCTCTGCGCCCCCTCCTCCCCTGGCGATCTCACTAGCTGTTGGTTCAATTATGCTAAGCTCTCCACTTGTGGATCCTTCGGGCATCTCACCCCACAACTTGCCTGGACAGAGCCCCAGTCACTCCCCTGAAACCTGGCCTCCTGTGTCCCTGTCTCAGAAATTGAAGCCAGAAACCTGAGAATAACCGCAGTCTATCCGTTTCCTGCCCCAACCAGTTGATGACCAAGCCCTGTCCATGCTGCCTCTTAAATATCTCTGGAACCCATCCACTCTGTCCACCCCTCTGCCCCTCCCCCAGCTCAGACCACACTCATCTTGTACCTGGATTGCTGCAGGAGTTATCTCACTGACCTCCCACCTCTGATCTCACTCTGTTAGCCTTTCTCCACTTGGCAGCTAGAGCAATCTTTCAGAAACTCAAGTCCAACTAGTCAGCCCCTGCTTAGATCGTCTATGGCTCCCTACTACCCTGAGAATGGGTCCAATCGAGTCCTCCATGACTTCACTCCCACCTACCTGCCTAACACCTATTTGTCTTTCAGAACTTTATCCAATGCCCCTTCTGCCAGGAAACTTTCTCCCATTACCTCTCCACTGCCCACTGTGGGTTGGCTGTCCCTCCTAGGGACTTCTCGTAGCCAGCGTGTGTTTACCTGTCTGTTCCCCTCTGGACTGGGAGCTCCTTGAGGACAGACTCTGTGCCCGATTTATCCAGCACACAGCCTGACACTTCATAGGTGCTCAACAGATGTTTGTTGAATGGATAACCAATTGGATATGGTAATGCAGGATTAGATATGGGGGGCTGAAGTTCAGGAAAGAGGGCTGGGCTGGAGAGACAGTTTTGGGAGTCGTCAGAAAGAACCCATATTGTAAGTAGAGCCATTGGAAAGGATGAGATCAGCCAGAGCAAATAAAGCAGGGGCCAAGGACAGAGCCCTAAAACACTTGCATTTAAGGGGAAAAGAATTCTGTACCAGGTAGGTTCAGGTTAGGCTGGCATAACAGAATCCCCCATAAAAACCTCAAGGAAGACAGTCATGGGCTAATATGGCAGCTCTGGTCCACAGTCTATGGACTTTGAGGCTCCTTCCACTCACTGCTCCAGCAACTGCTGGGTCTTCATGGTTCAGGATGGCAGCTAGAGCTCCAGCCATCACATATGTGTTCGAAGGCAATGGGATGGAGAGGAGGATGAAGAAGAGGGTGAAGGAGCTGTACCAGCTCTCTTATAAGAAAGGTTCCCAGGTATCACATGATACTTCCACATAGATCCCATTGGTTAGAACTTAGTCACAGGACCAGACTCAGCTACAAGAATCTGGGAAGTGCAGCCTCCGTTCTAGGCAGCCGCATGCCTGGCCGGGAACCAGGGTCTGTATCACAGTAGGGAGAATAGCTATCTGGGGACAACTAGCTGAGTCCACTACTGAGAAGGTGGCTAGATTGAGGGCAGAGCACTACTGTGTGCCAGACTCTGTGCTGGGCACTATACATACTTTATCTCACCCCAGCCCAAGTAGAGGCTGTCATTATGCCTGACTCAGTTAGGAGGCTTGGAGAATTAAGCAACTTGCCTGAGGACACACAGTGAGTGAGCTGAAATTCAAGCCTCTCTTCTCCCTGCATATCAGGCTGGCTGGAAAATCAGGAGAGGGTGGGTTCTAGGAGCTGCTGGAAGGAAATCTTTCAATAGGGAGGGCTTGGTCAACAGTGTCAGATGCTGACAGGCCAAGTTGGTTAAGGGCTGGTGCCCTTGGCCAGGGCATCTAGGAGAAGGGGAGGGGGTAGGGTAGAGGCCAATTGCAGAGGGTTAGGGCTCAGAGGAAAGTGTAGACTGGTCTTTCTGGAAGGGTGGCAGTAAAGGGGAGCGGGCAGAAATGCAGGGGAATGTGGGAGAGGAGGCAAAAAGGGGGAGGAAATACAAGGGTGGGAGAGAGAAGAGGGGGTTAGGGGGAGGTCTCTGGGCTGGGCACGGGTGGGATGTAGAGGAGGAACCTTTTTCTACTCATTCAGAAGGGAAAGGGGCAGGAGGTGCAAGAGCAGGTAGGTTTGAAGAAGGAAAGAGGGCAGAAGAGGGAGTTCTTGTCTCATAAAATCTGAGGGCTGTTCTTGGCTGGGGAAGGGGGCAGACAGCCAAAAGCCTGAGGGAGCGGAGAGAGGGGAGTAGCTACCATGTTGGACAGCCACTATTCATGTGTGGCTATTTAATTAAAGGTAAATAAAATTTAAAAATTCAGTTCCTCAGTTACACTACCCACATTTTAAGTGCTCAGTGGCCACAGGTGGCTAAAGCAAAAACCAGATCCATTGCAGGTGAGTCGATTCTGAGTCACAATGACCCCATGTGTTATAGAACTGCTCAATACAGTTTTTTTGGCTGTAATCTTTATGGAAGCAGATCACCAGGTCTCTCTCCCACAGTGCCCCTGGGTGGGTTCAAACCACCAACCTTTAGGTTAGCAGTCAAACAGAAACCCTTTGTGCCACCCAGGGACCTCCCACACGTGGCTAGTGGAGACTATACCAGGCAGCATAGGTAGAGAATGTTTCTATCACTTCAGAAAGTTCTGTTGGTTAGATCTGGTCTAGACAGAGGCATGAGATGGGGGTGCCCAGAGCTGCTGGGGCTGGAGATGCTTCAGCCTGGAAGTCATGCCCACAGCAGTGCCCCTGGAGAAAGCTTCCACGCTCTGTCTAGTTAGGCCTTCTTCCCCTCTTTGGGATTCCCTCAGAAGTCCCTCCTGGGACAGCCAGCCCCCTTCTCACCCCTCCTTTCGTGAGGCCACTCCTGGGGTTCTAAGCTGGCCCCAGCGCCAGGCCTCCCAGAACCGTGGGAGGGGCTTGTGGAGGGCTGGGGAAGAGCTCCGATGTCCGATGTTCGGGGCTGTGCCAAGACAGCTGCCCATGGACAGAGGCAAGCTGACCCCCAGCACTGTCCCTGCTGAGCTCGGGGCCAGTGGCATCACTAGGGGGGTGTAGGGGGTGCGAACTGCACCCCCTGGCACTGCCAGAAGTGGTGACACCGAAATGACCCCAGGGTGACCGGCGGTGGCAACGGCGTCACCAGGGTTGGTGTCATCTATCACTTTGTACGGTAACTTGTCACCCCCACCCCCACCCCATGTCACTGCTAGTCAGGGCACATGCAGCCAGGCTGCGGTGCCTGCCATTGGTCAGAGAGGAGGATCTCCGCCTTGGCCAGTCGGAGAGGGGAGGAGCTGTGGGGAGCCTTGCGGGGCGGGGCCCCTCGAGGGGGCGGGACAGGCCGCTCCACCCACAGAGGGGTTCCCTGGCCTGCCAGCCCACCTTGATGGGGGGGAGGTGAGTTACTGCACTGGGTGACACCAACCCTAGTGACACCACTGCTCAGGCATAAGAATGAGCCCACAGTTACCCACTGAAGAGCCAGAGGGACCTCAGAGATTGCTCTGCTCAGTCTCCCATTTCACAGATGGGCACACTGAGGTTTAGAGAGAGCCGGGGAAGAAAGTACAGAAGACAGAGGTTTATCAACATTCCTTTTATTGTACTCCGCCCCTCGCTTTCCCCAGACCTTGTGTTCAGACAGAGGCCAGCAGGCCTTGGGAGCTGGGGCTGGGCCATGTAGGCAGAGAGCCTAGGATCTGGCCAAGGCTCCCACTCTGACCCGAGGTAGCTGAGTAAGGATTCTTGGCTTGAAGAGGCTGTCCTGGCCTGATACATGTGGGAGGAGCACTTCCCCACGGAGGTGACATGGCATGGACCATGGGCCTGTGTTGGGGGTGTAGGTGTGTTTGTAGGAGCCAAGCTGCTCAAATACACAGTGTGGCGGGAGGGGTGTGTGCCTGTGGGTGGGTGTGAACATGGGAGTGTGTACACACGACACTGTGCAGCATGTGTGCAAACCACACAGATGCTAAGAGTGTCTCAGACCCTGCTCCATGCCCCTACCTGCCAGGTGATACAGTCCCGGGCCTAAGTCTGACACCTGATCAAGGGCTTAGAGTCAGAAAGTTCTAGGGCAGCGGTTCTTAAACTTAAGTTTCAAAATGGCCTGGGGAGTTAGCTAACCATGCAGATCCTGCGGCCCACCACTCAAGATTCTGCTTCAGGAGGTCTGGAGAGGCCCAGGCACCTGCTCTGTGGCTTAGCTCCTCAGGTAAATCTAAGGCCAATGAGAAACAGGGCTCAAGCAGAGCTTCCCAGTAGAACTTTCTGTGATGATGAGAACGTTCTGTAGCCCAATATGGCAGCCACTAGAAATCTTCATTTTATTCCGTTTTAATTTAAATATAAATAGTATTTGTGACTAGTAGCTGCCACATTGGAGAGCACAGATCTAGAGGCTGAGGCAGGGGGATGGATACTGAGGGCCCAGGGAGAGAAGTGCAAAGCTAGGTGTACTTGCCCAGCCCCAGCCCTACCCCCAGGAGTGGCTGAGGCTAGAGTAGGGCTGCCTTGGAAGTGTGCAGAGTTGGAGCCAGAGCCCAGAATCACACAGGTCTCTCCCCAGGTCCACTCTGAGCTCCCCGGGTCCAACCTGGTGTCTGTCTGGCTGAGACTCCTGGGGAGATGCCACCAGAGCTTTGTCCTGAGGCTTCATGCTACGTCTAGTCAGGAGTCAGGGGCCGAGGGTCAGGAAGTCTTCATGTTCTCCTGCAGGTCCATGGTGGAGCTGGTGGCTGCAAGGTCATGCTCACCCTGTATATGTGTGGAGGGGATAAGAGCTCTGGGGAAGCAGCTGGCACCCCCAACACAGACATATGGACGTGAAGCCTTTGAAGGGCCTGACTCAGAGAGTCCTCTTACCTCCCGTGGCCCCATGTCCTCTGCATACTTGAACTTCTTCTGCTTGTAGTAATGCCTCTTGGGCAGGATGTGGAGCAGCAACAGGTCACAGAGAACTGTTGCCTGGGGGTGAGAGGTGGAGGACAGAGCATGGGAATCTGGGAAGTGGGTAGAGAACCCTCCACATCCCACCTCAATCCCTATGGACTGTGTAGCTCTGACAGAATCCTGTCTTACTCTAGACATCAGGTTCTTCCAATGAGCTATGGGGCTGGAGGGGGGATGAGGCACTGCAGGACCCAAGACTGCCCCACTTCTGTCCTGCCCCAGTCCTGGGCCTTGGTTTCCTTAGATATACCGTGGGTCTAGGGTGGTGGAGTGAGCAGCTGTTGGCTCAGTGATGATGGTCAGTTATGGACAGGTTCTGGAGTGACTTGCAGCTGCTACTGAGATGTGGAAGGGGAGGGGCTGACCCCATCACAGTGCCCCCTGACCCCAGCACTTACCACCCCAAAGATGCCAATGCCAGAACCGATGGTGGTCATTGTGGGGATGATGTCAAACTTTCCGGCCTGGTGGCAGAGACCAGGGGAGGAAGGAGTTAACAGCCAAAAGGGGCCTGGCTGGACAAAGCCTCTCCCAGAATCTTCCCTACCCTTGACCATTAACTGGCACTGTAGCCTAGGACTCTGGCTCTGGATGAGGACCCCAGCTGCTGGCCAGGAGACCTGGTGTTTTGTTGCTGTTTGTTTGTGTGTGCTTTAGGTGAAAGTTTATAGTGCAAATTAGTTTCTCATTCAAAAATTTATACACAAATTGTTTTCTGACATTGGTTGCAATCCCTGTGATGTGTTGGCACTCTCCCCCTTTCTCTTTCCACCCTGGGTTCCCTGTGTCCATTTGTCCAGTTTTCCTGTCCCTTCCTGCCTTCTTGTCTTTGCTTTTGGGTAGGTGTTGCCCATTTGGTCTCGTATATTTGATTGAACTAAAACACACGTTCCTCACGTGCGTTATTGTTTGTATTATAGGCCTGTCTAATCTTTGGCTGAAAGGTGGACTTCAGGAGTGGCTTCAGTTCAGAGTTATCAGGGTGTCTGGGAGCCATAGTCTTGGGCATTCCTCCAGTTTCAGTCAGACTAGTAAGTTTGGTCTTTTTTTGTGTGTGAATTTGAATTTTGTTCTACATTTTTCATCCATTCTGTCCAGGACCGTCTATTGCGATCCCTGTCAGAGCCATCAGTGGTAGCAGTTGGGCACCATCTAGTTCTTCTGGGCTCAGGCTGTGGTTCACGTGGTCTATCGGTCCTTTGGACTAATATTTTCTTTGTCTTTGGTTTTCTTCATTCTCCTTTGCTCTGAACAGTATGGGACGCATGGATGTATCTTAGATGGCTGCTTGCAAGCTTTTCAGACCCCAGATGCTACTCACCAAGTAGAATGTAGAACATTTTCTTTATGAACTATATTATGCCAATTGACCTAGATGTTCCCCAACACCATGGTCTCCAGCCCTCAGCCCCAGTAACTTGGTCCCTCAAGGTGTTTGTATGTGTCTAGGAAGCTTCTGTGTCTTTGCCTTGGTCAAGTGTGCTGACTTTCCCTATATTGTATGTTGTCTTTCCCTTCACCAAAGTTGACACTTTGTCTACTATCTGATTAGTGATTTCCCCTCTCCACTCCTCCTCTCCCTCATAACCATCAAAGATTGTTTCTTTTTGTGTGTAAACCTTTTCTTGAAGTTTTATTATGGTGGTCTCATACAATATTTGTCCTTTTGTGATTGACTTATTTCACTCAGCATAATGTCCTTCAGGTCCATCCATGTTGTGAGATGTTTCACAGATTCATCATTGTTCTTTATCATTGTGTAGTATTCCATTGTGTGTATGTACCATAGTTTGTTTATCCATTCCTCTGTTGATGGACACTTAGGTTGTTTCCATCTTTTTGCTATTGTGAATAATGCTGCAATGAACATCGATGTGCATATGTCTATTCGTGTGATGGCTTTTATTTCTCTAGGATATATTCCTAGCAGTGGGATTGCTGGATCGTATGGTATTTCTATTTCTAGCTTTTTAAGGAGGCACCATATCATTTTCCATATTGGTTGTACTATTTCACATTTCCACCAACAGTGCATAAGAGTTCCAGTCTTCCTGCAACCTCGCCAACATGTCATTTTCTGTTTTTTTGTTTTTTTAATTAGTGCCAGTATTGTCAGGGTAAGATGGTATCTCATTGTAGTTTTGATTTGTATTTCTCTAATGGCTAGTAATCGCGAGCATTTCCTCATGTATCTGTTAGCTGACTGAATGTCTTCTTTGGTGAACTGTCTGTTCATAGCCTTTGCCCATTTTTTAATTGGACTATTTGTCTTTTTGTTTTTGAGGTGTTGAAGTATTCTATAGATTTTAGAGATTAGACCCTTGTCGGAAGTGTTGCAGCCAAATTTTTTTTCCCAGTCTGTGGGTTCTCTTTTTACTATTTTGGTGCAGTCTTTTGATGAGCATAAGTGTTTAATTTTTAGGAGCTCCCAGGTATCTAGTTTACCTGCTGGTGTCTGTGCAAGACCTAGGTTTTGACCTTAACTCTGCCTCCCTGGACACAGGGAGACAATGGGGGAGGAATGGTCACAGGCTGGAAAGCCCTGCCCTGTAATGACCCACACCACACGTTATTAGAAGTTAAGAACTGCTGAATCATAACCACAGGCACCCGACAGTCACACGCAGGAACTGAAACTGAGTCTCTGGCTGCTCCCCACCGTGCTGGACACTCACCTTGCCGTCCACCAGGATGTCAAAGCGAATCCCAAACACCTTGAAGAGGTGACGGCGGTTGGTGCCATTCTCCGTGAAGTACCTGGCAAACCTAGGGGAAGGTGTGGGTTGCAGCAGAGGGTGGTGGAACCACCTTAGGTCTGGAGTTCTCAGAGCATCAGGGCTGTAAGAGTCCTTAGAGGGCCATGAGTACAGCCCCTCCCCGACACAGGTGACCCAGGGAAGGATGAGGTCTAGCCCAGGGTCACAAAGGGGGAGTCACAGGGAGGATCTTAGGCCTCATACCAACAATTCCAGGAAGCTGCACTCAACCCTTGCCCTAACTCCTGACTTCAGCAATTTCCCCAGCCAGTCCTGGCCAGGTGTGCCTCTAGGAGACTGAGGCCCATGGGCAGGGGGAGTCAGGCCTCCAAGGTCTTGCTCAATGCTGGCCCGCTGCTCGGCCAATCCCAGGCAGGAAGGGAGTTGCCCAGGCTCCTCTGCTCCCCTCCCAGGACACTTGCTCTGCCCCAAGGGGTTCTGGGAGTAGTAAAGCCCAAGGGGCTCCAAGGAGGGTGCCGGTGGGGGCCTGGCAGGCACCTGAAGTTGAAGCCTCGAGACAGATTGTTCTCCTCATACAGCCCATGGAACTCATAGATGGGCTTGCAGTGTCGCACATGCCAGTCCAGGTCACAGTTCCAATCGATGGTGATGCCGACCACCCCGCCCTGCCAGGGACACAGGTGTTTAAGATGTGGGTTTCAGGATCATGACATTCCTGTCCCTCAGCTGGTACCAGCATCTCCTGAAGAGGGAATACTTTTTGTTCAAGAAAATACACTGAGGAGTTGCTTCAAGTTAGAGGTCCTCTCAGCCTCTCTGGCCTCACCTCCTGCCCAGCATACTCCACGCTCCAGCTTTCTGACAGTTTCCAGAACACACCAACTTCTTCCTACCACAAGGCCTTTGCACATGCTGTTCTCCCAGTTCTCCAACAGGCTGGCTCTTTTGCAGCCTTTGGTCACTTCCCCTGAGAGGCTTTCCCTGACTACCACCTCCAAGCTAAATTTTGCCCCTGCTGTTAGCTGAGGTTATACTCTGTGTGTTTTCTTTCAGAACATTTGGCACTTTGCAGTTATATATTTATTTGTGTGGTTATTTCTTAACCTGTCTCCTCCAAGACTGTAAGCTCCATGAGGGTGTCTCTGCCTCATTTGTTACAGACTCCTGAGTTCCTAACACAAATCACAGAATAGAAGTCAAGCAAATAGTTGTTGAATTAAAGAGTGAGTCTGTAAAGAAAAGGAGTGGGAAGAGAAAGTTGAGAAAGTGAAATTCCTCTGGGCAAGACAAGGAACAAGGACGAGGAGAGGGTAGAGAGGAGCTGGGGGTTAGGCTGAGCAACAGGAAAAGAGTTGAGAGGCGTGAGGCGGCAGGAAGCTGGGCTAGTAGGCGGGAGGCTAGCACCTGCAGAAGAAGGGAAAGGGGGAGAAATTCCCAGTAGGGGATGGCGGGAGATTTTTGGGAACCCAAAACCAAAGCAGTTGCTGTGGAGTTGACTCAAACTCACGGGGATCCCATGTGTGCCAGAGGAGAACTGTGCTTGGTAGGGTTTGCAGTTGCTAATTTTTTGGAAGCAGATCACCAGGCCTTTTCTTCGAGACACCTCTAGGTGGACTTGACCCCCCAACTTTTGGTTTAGCAGCTGCACATTAACCAGTTTGCACCACCCAGGGACTGCTTTCTAGGAACAGGGAGGCCTAATATTCTGTGTTTAGGTTGTATGTTGCTCTATTGTAAACCCCACAAAACCAAACCAAAAAACTAAACTCATTGCCGTCGAGTCAATTCCGACTCATAGCGACACTAGAGGACAGAGTAGAACTGGCCCAAAGGGTTTCCAAGGAGCGGCTGGTGGATTCAAATTGCTGACCCTTTGGTTAGTAGCCGAGCTGTTAACCACTGCACCACCAGGGCTCCAACACACACAAGGGGTCAGCAAACTGAGGCCCATGGGCCGAATCTGGCTACACCCGTTATTTATATATTGTCTATAGTTTCTTTGGAGTCCCTGGGTGGTGCAAATGGTTAAAGCACTTGACTGCTAACCAAAAGGTTGGAGATGTGAGCTCACCCAGAGGTGCCCTTGGAAGAAAGCCCTGGTGATCTGCTTCCAAAAAATTAGCCATTGAAAACTCTGTGGAGCACAGTTCGACCATGACACACATGGGGTCGCCATGAGTTGAAGGTGACTCCATGGCAACTGGTGTATGGTCGTTTTTACCCTACAACAGCAGAGCTGAGTAGCCATGACAGAGACCTTATGGTCTGCAAAGCTGAAAATATTTCCTATCCGCCCCTTCACAGAAAATTTGCTGATGCTTGCTCTAGACAAATGTGTTGTGAGCAGTTTTTTTTATTTGTGTGTGTGTGAAATCACAGAGAAGAGACTGATTTCCATGCCTGAGCAGGCGGCTGCAGGAGCAAAAATAACAATGAACATGTACATGGGATCACCACATGCCAGGCGATACTGAAATGCTGTTACATGTATGATATCACTTGATCCTCAAGACAGCCCCAAGACACTGGTACAATTGTTGTCCCACTTTATAAATCAGTTGCTGTTGACTCCAACTCATGGCGATCCCACGTGTGTCAGAGTAGAACTCTGCTGCATAGGATTTTCAATGACTGATTTTTCAGAAGACCACCCAAATGCAGGTACAGAAATTTAGACATGCAGAAATTAAGAGAGTTGTTTAAGGCCACACTGCCAGTTGGGGTAGAGCAGGTTCGAACCGCCAACCTTTAGGTTAGCAGTCTAACGCTTAACTGTTTACACCACCAGGGCTCTTTTGTATCCCTTATAAGGTACTGCTTTTCTTGGAAACCCAAGTGACTGAGGATCTCCGCTTCTGGAATTCCCAGAAATCCTCCGGGTGAGAGACTGAGTATACAAAGGGACAATGGCCAGACCATATTTGACAATAGAACTCTGACCCACAACCTCTGCAGCAACCAATCCAGAAAGCTAGACCTCAATGTCTGCAGTAATCGGCCAAATGGCCAGGACTTGGCCAATAACTGCCAACTTCTCTAATTTTTGCCCCTCCCCAACCAAAGAAAGTCAGGTATGCTCCCCTGACTAATCACATTCAGGATGCCCCACTTCCAGTTAGCTCACCTCCAGCCTCCCAGCCTCAGCAACCTCTAATCAAGGCATACTTGAACCAGAAAAAAAAAAAAAAGAAAACCCAAACCTGTTGCCATCGAGTCAATTCGGACTCACAGAACTACCCCACAGGGTTTCCAAGGCTGTAATCTTTATGGAAGCAGACTGGCACATCTTTCTCCTGCAAAGCAGCTCGTGGGTTTGAACCGCCGACCTTTTGGTTAGCAGCTGAGCGTTTTAACCACTGCGCCGCCAGGTCTCCTTAAGCATATCTGAAGCCTTCCCTTTTTTCCACGCTAAAGCTTTCCACCCTCTCTGCCTGGCGTGATGGTGGCTGACTCCCTTGCTATAGTAAGCTCCGACTACATAGTCTTTGCTTGTTCTCATTTGAATGGTCTTCGTTTATTTCCACAGGGGGTTATGGGCTTTGGAACTCAAGCTGCTTTCATCTAATATTTAGAAGACAGTGGGACCTCAGCTGATGTCCAGGTGACAATGTCTGCCCACGTCCACTCATCGTGGTCCCTCTTCTGTGCCAGGTCCATGCCAGGCCCTGCTGAGGACATAGGCCTGACCCTTAGTGCCCGCAGTATTAGGGGACAGAACCAGACATACATTCACCCACACCACAGAAGCTTCAGGGTGGGGGGAGATTAACTGGCCTTGAAAAGCATTTAATGGCTTGATGACCCCGGGTTCTAGCCCTGGCCTGGAGCTGTCCCCTCCTCCCCTGTACCTTCTCCGCCAGGGAGTTGAAATTCTGGCCAGACTCTTGCACTATGTAGCTGAGCTTGAAGACAGGGCATAGTGGGTGGGTGGTCTTGTGATAGAGGCAGGTTTTCAAGTAGGCGGCATCCACTTCCTCCACCAGGTTGCGCCTGTCAGGGCAGAGGGCATTGGCAGCAGCAGTGTGCCAGCTGGGAGAGTGCCCACCACGCCTCAAAGCTCTGGGAATCTCCCCCGCCAGGCTCCAGAAATGCCCTGTCCATAAACCCTTGGAAACCAAAGGCAGCCCACCCCAGAGGCCCAGCCCAGTCTTCTGCCTCAAGTGAGAACAGTAGGAATGGAGGGAGGGAGAGACAGCGGAGGCCAGCTGGAGCACCCGTGGAGCCACCTGCTTCTCTGCTGCATTTCCCACGAACCTGTTGACCTTGAAGCGAGGAAAGCTGATGCTGTTCTTGATGAAGAGAGTGAAGTTCTCGGCCTCCCGGAGAAGGGCGGGGCTGGAGGAGACCGAACTCACTCACCGCCCCTTCCCAGGAGGCCCCTGTGTGCCCCAGGCAGAGCTTGGCACAGTGGAGGTGGGGTACGAGCATATGGGACCCTCCGGTGAGGGGATGGATGTGCTGTAATGATGGACTATTAGGTCCATTGATCAGGGGGCTGGGGGGAATCTGGCCTGGGCGGCACGTATGGGGGTCCTTCCCAGAGCCCGGATCCAGATGCCCCTCTGTCTGGGCTGGGGGCCCCGGTCCCTGGAAGGACAGGACGTTACCGTGGAGTGTTGTCGTCCACCTCCACGGGACACCAGCCGAAGATCTCACAGGTGTGCACAGTGTCGTTGAAGGCCACACACTTCCCGGTGCGGATGCCTGGAGCGAGGGAAGACGGCCTGAGGGCCCACCCCCAGCTGGGGTGCAGAGGAGGCCCCAGGTCCTGCCGTCGGAGCCCCCAGGGATGGGACACCCAAGAGAAGGAGCCTGAGGACAAATGTGGCTGGCTCAGGGACAGGGCAGGCCACGGTCAGGGTGGCAGGAGGGGCAGAGAGCAGGAAGGATTTCCCAGGCAGGACAGCCTGGGGCGTGGAGAGAGGCGTGTCAGTGGAAGGTGGGCCAGAAGGGCCACTGGGCCTGGAACTGAGAGGGGGCCGCGGGGGGCGCGGGGGCCGCGGGGGGCGCAGAGGGGCGGGGCCGCGGAGGCTGACCTTACCTTGGGCCTTCCTTTCGGCCTTCCCAGGGATGCAGCTGCTGTCACCTGTGCATATGCCGCCTTCTGGGTGCTGGAGGAGGGGAGAGCTGCTGGCCCCAGACCCCTTGGGTGGGGTCCTGAGAAGAGCCCCTCCCGCCCCCAAGGCCCTAGGGAGAGTGTGGGGCAGAGTCTCAGACCCCTTTGGGGGCGACCCTGGCTCACAGCCTCCTTCCCCAGCCCCTCCCACACTGCTCTTTCGAAGACCCCTCTGAGCTCTTGCCCAGCTGTCTTGTGGCCACTGTCCACCAGGGCAGGGAAGTGGGAGTGAGCAGGCACTAAGGCCCAACATCCAGCTCGGCACATGGAGGGAAGGAGGGAAGGTTCTCTGCACTGCCAATGGCTGATTGTTACTTTGTGTGAATCTATACCTGAAATTCCACTGTTGGAGTCCCTAGGTGGTGCAGTTAACTCACTGGGCTGCTAACCAAAAGGTTGTCAGTTTGAGTTAACCCAGAGGTGCCTCGGAAGAAAGGCCTAGTGATCTACCTCTGAAAAATCAGCCATTGGAAACCCTATGGAGCACAGTTCTACCCTGACACACCTGGGATCGCCATGAGTCGGAATTGACTCCAGGTAACTGGTTGTGCTTGAAATTGCACCACTGTGGCCCCTGCAGGAAGCCTCTCTGCTTTCACCTCCAGAGCCCAAGGGGACCTCCTCTTCTGTGCTATTTTCCCTGTGTGTCCAAGAAGGGGGAGCAGCAGGACTCACCTCTGCACAGTAGCCTTGAGACTGCTGGGGAGTCGCGATGAAATTGGTCATGACCACAAAGGAGCTGTCCCCCTGGAAGTGAGAGACAGGAGAGGGTATAACAGGGCTGTGAGGTGGGACAGCAACCCAAGTACCCAAACACTGCCCAAGCAGGCCCCTAGAGCACCCCACCCCATCCCAGCAGGCTCTATATCTCAAGATGTCAGAGTAGGGGTGACATTGCGAGACCACTCTGCCAGGGCAACAGATTCACAGGGAAACTGAGGCCCAGAGAGAGATAGGAGGTGGACTGGTCCCTAAGGGAGGCTGGGAGAGCCCAACCCAGCTCTGGGGCCAGGCCTGCAGTAGAAGGTACACCCCGAGTCAGCTCACCTGGGCTGGGAAGACGTAGTCAGCTACATCCCAGACCTGGGGGCCCAGCCCTGGGAGCTGCGTCTCGGCCAGGCCCTTGAGTTTCACAGACACGCTACTGATGAGGCCGCTGGAGGTCTGGTAGCCCTTCTCGTAGAGAAACACCCACCTGCGGGGGATGGAGGGGGTAGAAGGGAGTTGTGGTTCTGGGCCAGGGCTGGGAGGGGGCATTGTGGCTATATGGACCTCTGCCCCTTTGGAGGAGTCCCTGGGTAGCGCAAACGGTTAAGCACTCAACTACTAATCAAAAGATTGATAGTTTGAATCACCGAGAGGTACCTCAAAAGAAAGTCCTGGCAATCTGTTTCTGAAAGGTCACAGCCTTGAAAACCCTATTGGGTGCAGTTCTGCTGTGCAACATGTGGGGTCACCATGGGTGAGAAGAGACTCCACATGTCTTAGTTTCTTAGTGCTGCTGTAACAGAAATACCACAAGTGGGTGGGTTTAATGAACAGAAATTTATTTTCTCACAGTTTAGGAGTCTCGAAGTCCAAATTTAGGGCACCAGTTCTATGGGAAGGCTTTCTCTGTCAGCTCCGAGGGAAAATTCTTGTCTCAGCTCTCTAAGTTCTTCTTGGCACTCCTTGGAGCGCTCCACATGGCTTCTATCTTTCCCCCATTTGTGCTTGCTCGCTTCTGTGCCTAATCTGCTCTTTTTACATCTCAAAAGTGATTGGTTTAAGACACACTCTACACTGATATGGCCTCATTAACATAGTAAAGACAATTGTATTCCAAAATAGGATTTTTTTTTAATATTTTATTGTGATTTTGGAGAAAATTTACACAGCAAATTAGGTTCTCATTGAACAATTTCTATACATTTTATTCAAGGACTTTTCACAATGTGTTAACATTCTCATTATTTCCATTCTGGTTGTTGTTCCCACTAATCTAGCTTCCTTGTCCCCCCTTACCTTCTCGTCTTTGGTCTAGGGTAAATGCTGACCATTAGCCAAATGGGATTCTATCTACAGGTGTAGGGGTTAGGATTCCAACACATATTTGAGGGGGCACAATTCAGTGCACAACACCACAGCAACTGGTGTGGCTTTTTTTGGCACCAGTGGGAAATGTCGTGTCCTTTCCCTCCCCCAGATGCCTTTCTGAGCCACTCTCTGCTCCTAAAGCTACATCTTGGGCTGGGTGCACCATTGTTTTCACTATGAAGGTACTCATTCCTGAGGAGGAGGCCCAGTGAATGACTGTTACAGATGCTTTCCAAGAGCAGAGTTTGCTGGGGCTTGGGGACAAGAAGTGAAGCCCAGCCCTCCTTCCTTCCCAAGGTTCTGCCACAGAGAAGCAGCAGAGCGTGATGGCTGAGAGCTGTGTGATTTTGCGTAAGCCATTCAATCCCTCCGTGCCTCAGTTCCCTCATCTATAAGACGGGGATAATAACAGTAGCAATAGTATCAATCTCATATTGCTGTGTGTTAAATGAGGGAGTAAGTGTAAAAGCACTTAGAATGAGGACTGACACCGAGTAAGTGCTATATAAAAATAAACAGTTGCTGTCAAATCAATTCCAACTGAAGACGATCCCATGTGTGTCAGAGTAGAACTGTGCCTCATAGGGTTTTCAATGGCTGATTTTTCTGAAGTAGATCGCCAGGCCTTTCCTCCGAGGTGCCTCTGGGTGGGCACAAACATCCAGCCTTTCAGTTGTACCTGAGCACTTAACTATTTGTGCCACTCAGGGACTCCAAGTGTTATATAGACATTAGCTATTATTATTATTTCAGCCATGCTGGGAGCCCCTGGGAAGAGGGACTGGAAGGGCTTGCAGCATCTAGCCCCCTCCCTGCAACCGAGGCCCCTGTGAGAGTGGCTCAGGCTGGAGGCCTCCCTGCCTCCTTGTGCGATTCTGTCCTTCCCTTCCCAACATCAGGAAACCCTGCTTTTTTGGGTCCTCCACTTTAAATCCATGAGGTTCAGCATGGGCTGACTCCCCTCCTAGCCCCAGGGGTAGGCACATGACCAAGGCTTGTCAATCAGTGTTCCATTCCCCTGGCAACAGTGATTGGTAAAAAGATGGACACATGACCTCAGGTGTATCCACAGTGAGGCCAGGATTTTTCTGGGAATTACTGGGAAATTGATGTCTTCTCTGCTGGTAACTAAGTAGGGAGGCTTCGAGCTCATAACTGTGTTCAGTCATCTTTGCCACCTCACAGAGAAAGCAAGCATGAGAAGGAAGCCAAACCAGAGAAAAGCCAGACCAGGAGCTGGAGAGAGGCAGACTCTTGACAATGTTGTCTGAGTACCTGGATCCAGCCATGCCTGAAGCATGCATGATTTAAAATGCACTTCTGGGCTTTTCAGTTACATGAGCCAATGAATTCCCTTCCTTTGTTTAAGCCAGTTTGGGTTTGGTTTCTGTTGTTTAAAACTGAGAGTCCTGGATAAAATTCCTCTCCAGGGTATGGGCCCCTTCCTTCAGGTAAGACTCTTCATGGATATTCAGGGTAATTCTGTGTGGGTGTGAGTGTCCATGTCCGTGGTGCCATCTGAGTGTGTAGCTGTGTATCTCCAGGACAAATCTGTGAGTGTACCTGCGGCTGTGTCTGGTGGTGGGTGTGTATTATGTCCCCTTCACCCTTCACCCTGCCCTCAGCCCACCTATCCAAGCAGAGCTCAACGCAATCTACTCCCCTCTCCTGTCCCCTGGAACTCAGGCCTGGGAACAGGAATTCTCCAGGCTTGCAGTCCCAGAGTCACTGCTAGTTCACTAGGACTGTCTCCCTGCTCCAGGCTCCAGGGAAGCAGGCCACTGATATTCTCCCCTCCCCTTCCATAGTCCCCCCTCCTTTTCCCAGCCCCTCCCTCAGCCTGGCATTGGCGCCAAACCACACCCCCCCACCCAGAAGCTTAATGGTGGTCACTGCTGCCTCCTGCAGGTCTTAGTTGGCAACAGGTGAGGTATGACAAAGGCCTTGAGCCCAACAGTCCTGAGCTGGCAGTCCTGCCTCCCCTCCCCATCAGGGAGAGTGGGGAGTCAGCCACCTTCCCCCTGCCCGCTTCCTATGTCCCTTCATCAAGGAAGGCCTCTGGCTCCTTGCCCAAGCTTGAAGGGGTCGTTGGAGGGTGATAGGGAAGCTGCTCCCTGTTCTGAAGCCCCCGCGGGAGAGGTCACTGACCTGACTCTCAGCACACACCTGCCCCCACTCTGCCCTGACATCCCAGCAGCACTCTCTCTTTGTGCAGTGCCAACTCCTCATAACATCGATGGGGAAACTGAGGCCTGGGGAAGTATCCTTCCCAAGAGTCAGAGGCCAAGCAGGGAGCAGACCACAGGCTTGGGGTGTTCAGCTCAGGAGCTGGCTCCCCATCTCTGAGCAGCACAGGCATCATTGTGTCAGCCAGGAGCCAGGAGCTCAGAGGGGAAGCACGGCCACACTGAAGCTGAACACTGGGGATGGAGTAACATTCCCAGGGTGTGTCTGCCTCTTGGGCCTGTCGGTCCTGGGGCTCAAAGGGAAAACTCAAATCTGGCATCGATGACCTCGGTCCTGGTAATAAAACCGATCATCACGCCTGGCCTGCCTCCCTCCCCCGCTGCCCCGACTGCCCCTCCAAAGCCATGCCCTCTTTAATCTGGCCTTGATGTCACCACCCCTGGAAGGACACTGTCTTGGATTGAATTGTGTCCACCCAAAATGTGTGTCAATTTAGCTAGACCATGATTCCCAGTATTGTGTGGTTGTCTACCATTTTATCATCTGATGTGATTTTCCTCTGTGTTGTAAATCCTACCTCTATGATGTTAATGAATTTCTCTCAGTGATAGCTTGTCTCTATCCTTATCCTGATGGAGGCCCTGGGTGGTGTAAATGGTTATCGCGCTTGGCTGCTAACTGAGAGGTTGGAAGTTTGAGTTCACCCAGAGGCGCCTCAGGAGACAGACTTGGCAATCTACTACAGAGCAAGGTTCTACTCTGACACACATGGGGTTGCCAGAGTCGGAGTCCCAACTCAACCCTGACTGGTGTGCTCTGGGATCCATTCGGAGATTGCAGAAGCATGTGATTTCAAGATCCCTGCATGGGGCCTCTGGGGAGGCCAAGAGGGGCCTGAGGGTGTGCCCAGAGCAGACCTGCCCAGCTTCCAGCCTCCGGGCCTTTGCCTATGGCTGGTTCCACCACCATGCCACCTCTTCCAGGAAGCCTTCCTTGTCCCCTTCCCTAAGTAGCATTCACCAGCCCCCTGGGGACCCTCAGTGTGCTGCAGCCAGACCACCCCACTCCTCCCCCAACCAGAGCCCCCCTGGGCAGGGACATATCACAGGACGCCCCCCAGCGTGGGCCTGTACCATGTCAAGCACAGACTTTCAGGCTTAAAGAATATCCAAAGTTCATGGATGACAGCACGTCACACAGCTGAAGCCCACTGCTTGGACACCTCCAGTGACAGAGAGCTCACCACCTCCCAAGAGACAGCTCTAAATGTGACCATTTTGATTTGAGCCCCAAAAGTGTTATCTTAGCTCAGCCCTCCGGGGCCTCAAGCTCATCCGCTCCCTCTGCTTGCCCTGGACTTCGGAGAAGAGTGTGATGAATAGAGACCATGGCCTCAGTTTCCCTCCCTGGAATCTGTTCGGGCTCTCAGCATCTCAGTCTCTGCCTCTGGCTCAGGAGCTCTCTCCATCTCGAAGTCTCTTTTCACCTGAGTTGTTGCCCTCCAGTATTTGCCCTCTGGCCAGTTCTGTCTCCGAGTCTACCTATCCTCCCCCCACCCCCAGGTCGTGCCCCTGTCTCTGAGGTTCAGGCGTCTGGCTCTTCCTTCATTGTCCCCTCTGTCCCTCCTCCAATGACAACAGGACCATTCAGACAGATGTGTGGGTAGGGCCCAGTTCCTCCTCAGGAAAGAACAAATTGTTGAGCCTGGGTGCGATGTCTTTAGATGGGTGCTTTCCAACCCCTTCCCCATGGAACAGATGGGAGACCGAGGCCTGATGCGCTGAGGCTGAGTTCCAGGCTTCGCCAGAGTTTTCACTCTGCAGCTGCCAGCTCCAGATGAGTCGGTGCAGCACTGGGAAGTGGCCGGACGAGGGCACCAGAGACAACGGGAGCCTCAGCCCAAGCTGGAGCCAGAAACCTAGGCTTGGGAGTGGAGTAGGATGGCAAGGAACCAGGCCTTCTGGCCTCTGGGCTGCTGCGTGACTTGGGCAGGTTGGTGGCCCTCTTTGAGAATGCTTCCTTTCCAGGATATTAAGCCTGATTTTGGAGCCATGCAGACCTGGGTTCAAGCCTGACTCAGCCTCTTACTAGCTATGACCTTTTATCACTGACACTGAGAAGGGTCACAACCATTTGGAACCTGAATAGATTATCTCAGGAAGGAGGGGGGTAGTGAGGTCCCCATCACTGAAGGTATGTTGTTCAGGGCTGGATGGCAAATTGGGGGGATGACAGGGCCTAGGCATCAAATACAAGTGACTGTCCCTTCCACTCTGACACTCTGCAACCAGCACATGGAAGGGCCCTGGTGCTGCTCACAACTGCTGATCTGGAAACAGAAACAGGGAGAGAGTCCTGGAGCCATAGGGGCCACATGAAGACAACATCCTCCCAGTCTTTTCAGGCAAGGGGCAAGCTGGGCCTGAGCGGGCAACCTCTCTCTTCCAGGGAAGGTCTGGAGTGAAGCCAACGGTGGTGGACTCCTAGACCTATCCTGGGCTGGCAACACACCACCAGTGCCCCTATTACAAACGTCCCCCAGAAGTGGGAAAGAGGAAGGCAGCGGAGGCAGAGCTGAGGCCCAGGCGTCAGGAGGTCTTAGTTCTAACCCCGGATTTGATGCTCACTTGCTGTGTGACCTGGGAAGCCCAATACTCCTCTCTGGGACTCAGTTTCCCTCACAAGCTCAAACAAGACTGCAGCTGTCAAAGTGGTTTGTGAACAGTATGGAGGCAGCAGCTGAAAGGCATCAGAGGGCTGGGTCCTGGCCGTGGCTCCACCTGACCAGCTCTGAGGCCTTGGACGCTGGGTGGGGTCAGAGGGAAGGCTGTTTTGGATGCTAGAGGCCCTGGGGGGACCAGGACTATGTGGTCACCGTCTGGGTCCCTGGTTGGCCCACCTGGCTGGCTCTATTCAGCAGTCCTGGTTTGTTCCCACAGCAAAAATGGGGACATGGAGACCAGAGGGGCAGGGCCCTCAGCAAAGACCACACGGCAAAGTTAGGCAGGGACTGCTAGGCAGCCCCATACCCCCATCAGGGTCTGAGCCCCCTTCAGTGTCCCTGGGGCCACTAGGAGCCCTCCACAGAGTCACTGTGAGTGGACATGATGTATCACACACAGGGCACACACATCAGGCACCTGGGCACACCCGTGTGAGCATCCAGCCCCAGGGATACACCGAGCAGACACACCCAACAGGCACATGCCCAGGCACACGAGGGCATGAGGGCAACAGAGCCGCAGGGGGGACACACATGTGTGCTCGCACAATACACACATGTGCTCACACAACACACACACGCTTGCACAGTACCCACAAGTGTTCACACAACATACACATGTGCTCGCACATACACACGCGTGCTCACACAACACACGCGTGCTCACACAACACACACGTGCTCACACAAGCACACTGTCACACAAGTGAGAGTGCAGCCCCTGTCAGGCCTGTCTTTGGCCCCGAGGACAATCAGGCTGCAGGGGGAATCCTACCCTGCATCTGACCCTGCACTCGTGGGACAGGGGACAAGTCCAGCGACACCCAGATGGGAGTGCTATCCTTGGGGCCAGAACTGACCTCCAACCCCTGTCTGACACCCCACCATGAAGGCGCCAGGACTTCAAAATTTGAGGGTTTATCTGCTGTGTTGTTGCTGTGTGCTGTCGAACCCATTCCAACTCCTAGCAACCATATATGACAGAGTAGAACTGCCCCATAGGGTTTCCTACGCCATAATCTTTATGGGAGCAGATGATCAGGTCTTTCCTTCTGTGGAGCAGATGGTAGGTTCAAACCGCTGACCTTTCAATTAGCAGCTGAGCACTTAACCATTGCACCACCAGGGTTCCTTTCTTCTGCTCTCACCCCCCCCAAAAAAACCTGTTGCTGTCAAGTTGATTCCGACTCATAGCGACCCTATAGGACAGAGTAGAACTGCCCCATAGAGTTTCCAAGGAGCGCCTGGTGGATTCAAACTGCTGACCCTTAGGTTAGCAGCTGTAACACTTAACCACTGTGCCACCAGGGTTTCCTCTTCTGCTCTAGGGGCCCCAAATAGGGAAGAGAAGGTGGCAGCAGAACCTGTCCCTCTCTGGCCTGTAAGATGGGTGTGGCTCTGTCTCAGTACTGCCCTGGTTTGGCTGGGAGGTCAGAGGCAGAAGGGCTGGGTGAGCTGCAGTTTGCTCGGGCCCTGGCCTCGAGTGCCACGTATCACATAAGGGAACCATTAGCACTGAGCGGGTTCCTCAGAGGTCAACGGCTTTGCCTCCTGTTCACCATATGACTAGGGCCAGGCTTCCCTCTCTGCCTCGAGGTCCCCATCTCAACAGGGAGTGAGCAGGGTTTTCCATTCCTTCTGAATAGCATGGTGGTTTGTCAGGAAGGACTTTCAACAGACACAGAGAAAGAGGGGCTCCTTGGCAACACGGGGGGCATCTCAGAGCTGGAGGACAGACCCGGGTTGGGGGCTAGTGTGAGAGGACGGCAGGGAGGGGGCCCAGACTCACCCGACGACGTAGACCAGAACCACGAGCTGGATCAGCCGGAAGATGACGCCCACCTTCTTGTTGCGCACGAGTACCATTCGGGGAGTGTCATACTCGAAGAAGAAGGTGGCCATCTCATCCTGGAGCCGACGCGCCATGGTAGGCCAGGGTGGGGCTGAGCCCTGAGCCCCTGCACAGCCCGTGCTTGAGGAGGGCTTGAAGCGAGCGAGGCGTCAACTCCCGCAATCACAGCTGGGCTTCTGGGGGCTTCCCAACCCCTTAGGCAGGGCAGGGTAGGGCAGGTGGGGTCAGAGGTCAGGAGTCAGAGGTCAAACTAGAGATGCTGGGCTTGAGAGGGAGAATCCTTGGGTGGTCAGAGCTGCTCTTGGCCAGTGCAGGCAATGGAGTGTGGGCCAGTCGCTCCAGTGGACAAATAAATTCCCAAAGATAGATGGGGGCGGGGCTGGTGGGGCCACCCAGGCCCGGCCCCATTGCCCCTCGTGGCTCCGCCTGGGCCTTGCTGGCCTCCGGAAACAGGAGCTGTTGGCAGGAAACCACGGGCTACCCGTCACAGGAGCAAAGATAAAGCTGTCAGCCCCCCCAGAGCTTGGGCCAGGGCTTGGGGGAAGCTGGGGGTGGCCTCAGGCCAGAGACCTCCCAAAGCTAGGGACCCATCCCCACCCTCAGACATCCCCCCTCCCCCAACCCCAGTCCCCAGGGTGAGTAGCTCAGTTCCTGGGGACCTGCAGCCAGGAGGGCAGAAGAGGAAAGAGGGTGATTCCAGTCTAGCTGTTGACACTTCTTGTGCCCGTGGCTGAACCCCCACCCTTGTTCTGTCCTGGCAGACCGCCTTCCATCCACCCATCCCTCTGGTCCAAGGCTGGGCCCAGCCTAAGCAGTCTCTGTGTTGGGCTGGAATCTCCTCTCCTATCACTTGTTTTGCTCCACCCCAACTGCAGAGCAGAGAGGTAGGCAGGTGCCCAGACAACATCAGGGTCCCTGAGACCCAGCTGTGACATAGGTCTGCCTGTGTTTAACGTCCCTGCTCTGCCACTTCATGGCTGCAGGGACTTGGGCCAGCTGCCTCACCTCTCTGAGCCTGCTTCCTCATCTGTAAAATGGGGGTGATAAGCATCTTTTCCTCAAAGACTGAGGCCCCTGGGGGACAGGTCCTGACAACCCAGCAAAGAGAACTGGAGGCCACTAGAGAATTTGGGGTACAGCCCCTCTGTAGCCCCTGCCTCCATGGATCCCAGCCCAGCCCCTGAATATGGGGGCTCCTGAGGCAGGGCTGTGGGGGAGTGGTCCAGGTGAGGCTGCACCTTGTTAACTCTATGAGCCCAGAGCTGGAGGCCTCCCCACCCCCATACCTAGTTTTGCAGACAGATTGAAGCTCACACTGGAGAAATGACTTGCCCAAGCTCACCCTGGGGGTGCTGGAGGATCAAGTTTGAAGGAGTCTCACTGGCCACCCTCTAACCCATGCTGGGGCCCCTAGGGCTCCCAGAGGGAACATCTCTCCAAGCTGTCCCCCCCACCCCCACCAAGAGTGATAAGGAGCCTTCTTCCCGGGAAACCATTAGCTGCGAAATCTCTCTGGGCAGGGATCCAGGCCCCTTCTCTCACCCCAGGCCAATCCCTCTCTGTCAAATAAATCAGCCTCACCCCGAGTTCCCGCCAATCCAGTGGGGATGTTTCAGGCACAAGTATGGGATGCCACCTTCAAGAGGGGCTGGCAAGAGCCCTTTCTGGGCTTTTCTAAGGAAAACTCCAGGGACGCTGAGAGCCCGGGCTGTGGCAGCCACATCCTCTTGGCCGGATCTTGACCCCGGACAAAAGAGCCTGTCCTTTTCCCAGCTGGTCCATCATCCTTGGAATGGGAGGCCCAGGACACGAGCTGCTTGGGATGAGGAGTGGGTGGGCGCCAAGATTGGGTGTGAGTCATCTCCGTATTCCCTGCACCCGCCCATCCCCCTGCCACACCACACTCAGGAAAGCACAGGAACTGGATAAGGGAGGGAAGGAGAAAGGCAAGAGGGAAGGAAAGGAGGAAAGGAGGGAGGAAAAGCTAGCTCCTCACACTAGCACCCCAGCCTCCTCCTCCTTCTTTAAAGAGCTAGGCTTGCTGACCAACAGATGGGCTGACGGACAGATAGACTTGCTTGGAGCACACACTTGTGCTTCTGTTACAGCCTCAGTACTGACCCCGACACTCAAAACAGCCTGGCATGGAGGACAGTCTCATTTGGGGATATTAGCATATCCAAAGTGTGCCCCAAAGAAAAAGAAACAAAACCAACCACATTTCTCTTCCTAAATTTCTTCTCTTGCTAATTACTCCCCAAGAGTAAGCTAGCCAGCTGACAAGGTCAATGTCCATTGCACTGGTTTTAAAATGCATCTTTCTGGTCCGAGGCCTTTCCTACCCACGGCCCCAACTCCAGCATGCCCAGGAGAAAGATGGTGTTTGTTTCAGACATGGCAGGGGCTACGATGAGTTTATAGTGACAGAGTGCTTTTCACACTCTGGAATTCAGTAGGTTTTTCTTCTAATGTCCCTATGAAGTAGGTCCTAGTGTCCCCATTTTACAGACAAGAAAACTGAGGCTCCAGAGGTTGAGTACCTTGCCCAAAGTCCTCGACGAGTAGCTCCCATGTCTGCTGGGGGCTGGGAAGGAGGCTCCCCAAAGTCTGAGGTTTTGGCCTGGAGCCCACCCCAAGTCTCCAGAACTCAACAGCTGCCAAGCCTGCCTTATAAGCCCAAAGGCCGAGTGGCCAGCTTGGGTACCGGGCCGGGCCTTGTAGGGAGACAAAGCTCTGCTGCCAAGTGCACGGCCCCAGGACAGCCTCCCCCTGCCTGGCTAAATTTAGCGGCTCTCAGAGCCACTGCCCAGGCCTGCAGGCCAGCCACATCCCCTTGGCTACTCAGGGTCTCCAGATTGCAGGGTCTACACCTCTCACACCATCTGGGCCTGCTTTGGTGTCCCAGGGGCTCACTCAATGTCATCCAGCCATTCAGATGCCCAGCTGGAACAGGGCCCTGAGCCAACTTCATAGTGACTGTTGGGGGAGGCCTGGGGGTTCAGCAGTGGTCCTCAGGGTTGGCAGCCCCTACTGCCTTTGAATTATGGTGTTGGCAAAGAATATTGAATATACCATGGACTGCCAGAAGACCATATCTGTCTTGGAAGAAGTACAGCCAGAATGTCTCTTAGAAGCAAGGATGGCAAGACTTCGTCTCACATACTTTGGACATGTTATCAGGAGGGACCAGTCCCTGGAAAAGGATATCATGCTTGGTAAGGTGAAGGGTCAGAGAAAAAGAGGAAGACCCTCAATGAGATGGATTGACACAGTGGCTGCAATAATGTGCTCAAGCATCGCAGTGACTGTGAGGATGGTGCAGGACTCGGCAGTGTTTCTCTTCTGTTCAGTTGTTCTGTTGTACATAGGTCACCAGGAGTTGGAACCGACTCCACGGCCCCTAACAGCAATAACAATGCCTCTTCTATCCTCCCACTAGGGGCCATGACTAGGCTGGATCCTCCTCGCGAGCTTCCAAGGAATCACACTTGCCTGGTCCTCCTTCATCTTTTGGGTTGCTTCCCCTCGGTCCCCAGACTTCTCCTGCCCCTGGAATACAGGGACTCCTTGGGGCTCTGGCCTAGGCCTGTGCCCTCAGACACTGCACACTCACTCCTACTTAGGAGGCCTCATCTCCTTTCCAGCTCTTAATGATGCTGAGACCTCCCCACCCACACCCACACCCACACCCACACTCTAGTCATATGCCACTTACCTCCTCTCTGGCTCTTGTTTTTTTTCTAACCAAATTGTATTGAGGTGTAACTTACTTACACTGTACTTTTAAAAAAAAAGTACTTACTTTTAGTGCACGCTTTGATGAGTTTTGGCAAATGCATACATTCAGGTCACCACTGCCCCCAGTTCATCACCTTAGAACGTCCCATCTTGCCCCCTTGCAGTCTGTCTCCTCCAACCTCCAGGCCCAGGCTTGCTGTCACTACAGAAAGAACTTCATACAGAGTCCCTGGTGGTGCAAGCAGTTAACGCGCTTGGCTGCTAACCGAACGGTTCAAGGTTCGAGTCCATCCAGAGACACCTCAGAAGAAAGACCTGGTGATCTACTCCTGAAAAATCAGCCATTGAAAACCCTATGGGGCACAGTTCTACTCTGACACACATGGGGTCGCCATGAGTCAGAGCCGCCTTGACAGCAACTGGTAGAACTTCGTATAAGTGGAATCATACAGTGTGAGTTTTTCTTGTGTCTGGCTTCTTTCACTCAGCACAATGATTTTAAGCTTTATCCATGACATTGCCTGTGTCAGTAATTTTTTTTCATTTCGAGGAGGGTTCCATAGTCTGGATGTATCAAAAGTTGTTGATCCATTCACCTGTTGATGGACATTTGGATTGTGTCCAGATTTTGGTTATAATGAATAAAGCTGCTATGGATGTTTGGGTTTGGGTCTTGTGTGGACATACGTCTTCATTTCTTCTCCTGACTCTTTTTGCCCTTCTGTTCCCCTTAGCACCGACCCCAGTGTGGTCTTTCCCACTACTGTGAATGGAGGAGCCGTGGGGGGTATAGGGAACACAGAGCTCCGGTCTCTGGAGGGGGAGGGGTGAGGCCATGGCCGTTTGGCAGCCACATCACTGAGCCAGTCTGAAGTGTGCCTGGGCTTGCCCCGGAATTCCGTCCTGAGCGAGTGGCACTGTGAGGTGAGGAGACCTCTCTGTTTACCTTGGCCGCTCCATCTTGGCCTGTTGAGCTCCATGCTGCGGGCTGGACTGAGCAAGACTAGGGCAGGCCTGGGTGGGGGTGGAGGAGAAGCAGGCCTGGCCATCGAGCCCCAGAGGCTGCTGGGAACGCTGGATCCATCCTGGCCTCATACACAAGACCCCCAGGCCCATCTTAGCTCCATGCCCTGAACTGCCTGTCCCCCATAATGAGGCTGGCTAGATGGCTGGACTCTCAGAGGGCCTGTTCTCTCCAGGCATGGGCCCCTCTGGGCCTCCAGCTCCTCATCTATGAAACGGAGCCCCAACCCCTGACTAGCCCACCTCACAGGCCTAGTAGAGGATCCTGGGAGACGAGGAGCATGTAAAGGTTTCATGGCCTGAGAGGTCTTAGAGGTGGACCATGAGGGAAGGAAGACCTTCTGCCCAGCCCTGGCCCCCACTGTGAGCTGTGCTTCAATCTTCGTTCCCCCTGAAAACTGAGAGCTCCTAAAGATGGGGTCCTGTCTCCTCAGGTCAGGACTGGCTTTGTGGGCAGTGACCTGTGCAGTCACACAGGACCCCATGCTCAGAAGGGCCCCATG